TCCTTGAGTTTGAGGGGGGATGCTATTATATATATGTTTTAATGTTTATACCACATGGTTAGTCTAAGATGCTTTACTATTTTCTTGCACTATAAATGCACCTCATCATGTATATGAAAAAGTACACCAAAGGAATATACAATTATATTCGCTTTCTATTTTCTTCTTTCACAGCAGTATGTCTATATGAGAAGAACAAGGTTATATGTGTAATTCTGATACTTCTGAAGTGCTGTATTTAAGATTTAGTTTCCAAGTTGGAGCTCATCATGCCTTGTGCTCCTGTAGACGAGAGAAAAAAAAATTCATTGGTTATTGGAGAAGGTGGGGGGTACTTCACCATATGCCTTCCTAACTAGATATATCGACCAACTCAGTTTTAGTTTCTGGGTGGAAGCCCTTAGTCTCTATTCTCTTGCCAATGTGAAAGAATGAGTTTTGTTTGTGGTTGGAGAAGGTGCAAATCATTAAAAATGATTGGATTGGTTTGATAAAAGAGTATAATTATAAAAATATAGAACTAGAGGACATTCACAACGGTGGCAATCTTTAGGGCCCACATGAATGTAAATATTTTGGCCAGAGATTTGACAGGAATAGAATAATATCCAACCCAAAGAAAGAGGATGTGCAGCATCGGTTTGGACTGGAAAATTTAAATTTTTTCAAACCTATCTTAATCTAAACCGGTCATCCAAACACCTCTTAAAAGGATATATTTTTTGGGGCCCACTAAAATTTGGAGCCCCAGGCCCACCTCATTGGCCTACGCCTATTACTGACCTAAATTATACCTCTCTTGCAAAAGTTAAAAATAGCAGGCAAACTAACGTCGTTAACCTAAAAATGTCAATCTGATTAACGTCTTTATGTTAAAGACATCAATCCAACTAATGACTTTTGTGCAATACAAAACCTAAATTATCCTTATTTTTTAATGTCTTTCCAAAGTTAATTTTTCAAGCAACCAAATTCTAATCGTATTTTTTATGAGATGACAAAAAAAGTGAGACATAACAATTTTTTTTTGGTTCAAATTCAGAGCGCGTTTAAATTTTTCTATTAAAATTCAGCTTTAAGGCTAACTTTGAAAAATAATAGTTATTTTTTTTAATCTAAAATACAAAATATCATGTGCAATACGGCATGAAACATACATACAATCACATATATTATAGGAATAAATTTATTTTTTGTGATAAAATCCATCGTATCTTCAACTTTCATTTTAGCTAAAAAAAATTGTATATTTCAAAACAATGTCGTAAGTTCATCTAATAATATCATTTTCNACATACAATCACATATATTATAGGAATAAATTTATTTTTTGTGATAAAATCCATCGTGTCTTCAACTTTCATTTTAGCTAAAAAAAATTGTATATTTCAAAACAATGTCGTAAGTTCATCTAATAATATCATTTTCCCCCAAAATTGTACAAACCATGCGCATATAGATATTAATAATAATTCTATGAGAAAATTCAACTTATGCATTAAAAAAACTAAATTTATTGTATGACATTGCTTAAAATACAGTCTGTCAATAATGTGGTTGATGTTCATAACAACATAGAGGTTGATCACATGCACATAAACTTGATGAAATAAAAGTGTTTGACGCATCATCACTTAAATCTGAAAAATCAGAAAATTTAAGATTGAAAATAAGTGACAAATCCTCTAAAATTTTAATCTCGTCATTGTCAGAATCAAAATGCTCAAGATAATCCAATATACTATAACATATGAAATCAGAATTTAATCGTAGATGGTCACAACTCATCTGATGGTAGAAACAGGTATGAGGTCNAGAATCAAAATGCTCAAGATAATCCAATATACTATAACATATGAAATCAGAATTTAACCGTAGATGGTCACAACTCATCTGATGGTAGAAACAGGTATGAGGTCTATCATATTTCGTGATCTGAAATATTTTGTAACTTTTTTCCTGAAACAAGCACGTAGTCTACACTTGCAATTAGACTACAAGCATATCTTGCACTGTACAGCCCACACTGTTGTCTTGGTCTCCAGCACAATACAATCCTGATTCATCTTGATGGAATATCATTTTACTGTCCTAATCAATAAAATTTTATCCTTAAAATCATGTCTTTCTCCAACTCTATCTTTTTCGAATCCCACAGTTTCAATTCAACAGACGATGTTAAGCTATCAACTTCAGAATACTCACCAAATTCAACGTTTGTAAAAAAAGGAGAGTAAGACATGCATATGAACCTCACCGCTACCAACCTCATTTGATTTACCATCTCCATCATCATTATCGGAGTCATCAATCATTAATTTCTCATACTCTTCTTTTCCATTTGAATCTTACAATCCTCGAATTTCATTAAAAATATAATATCCAACTCATGACACTGAATAATTTAGAGTAATTGTAACCCATTTAAATAACTGCAGTGCTGGTTTTCAAACTTCCAAACCTCATTAAGAGTACTAAAAGTCTAAAATTATGTAATTAAGCCCTTTTTAAGTAAAATATACGATTTCGGTTATGTCATTTGAAAGGTACTGGCAAAATTTGTTAGTAATGGTCCTCCATGGAAATGGAAGGAATGAACCACTATGATAAAAGAAAGTGCTATCTCTCGTTACAGAATATTGTGCACCAAGTATATTAGACTAGAAAAAAGTATAGCATTTCCCTTAAAACTACACACAACTTAAGCTAATGATTCTCAGAAACCCAGTTCAATGACTTGAACTTCCAGGACAAGTGATAAAAATCTTCAAAACATGTAAAGAGTAAAACACAGCCACAGATCAAAAATATATAATGGAGATACATATCTACATGACGGCAGCAATTAGGTTAATAGGATATTCTAACAAAACAAGGAATGATCCGAATCCGAGAACAAAATAATAATAGGACTACTGACTACAAATAAAAGGCCGCTAGTCAATCAAACTTGTAACCTCCTACTGTTATGCCTCATTCCAACCACAGCAATAACATCTTCCCGTTTAAAATTCAATGATCAACAATGCCAGAGTGGGAGATAGATTAAAGCAACAGATAACATAAAATCTCTAGTTTGAAACGCTGATCCAAATATTCTATATTAGAACACTGCCACTGTAAGTTGAAACCTATTGACTCTTGAGAACACCTTCCCCCTTTGCTACTCTGAGCTTCTTTCATGCCAGAAAGCTTTCACGCCGGCAGAAACAGCATATCCATCAAGATGGCACTATGTACAGCAAACAAAACTGTAAGAAGCACTTCAACAAGAGGATAGGAACAGCAGCAAAAGTGAAAAAAAATCCAAAAATAAAACAGGCAATCAAGTAGATAACATTAATTTTCCATTGTACTGTTAACAGTAAAGAAGTTATCAACCAAGTGCCAACTTCAACCACAGATTCAAAATCCTAACACCATGTACATGTACACAACCTCGACCTCCCTCTC